TACAAGAAACCTGACACATGCTTTAAATCAAACTGCCATCTCTGGTGCCTTTGGAACAGCTTTGGATGTACCAAGCCTGGACAAGCAGACAAGAAACAGACCCACCCCAGCACACACCTGGGGAAACTCCAGCCATTGCACCAGTTACACTGGATTCAAACTGCCTAAAGCACCCAAATTCAACACTCAGTTGTGTTCCCTCATCCCGCTGAACTCTGCACTGCAAGAGGATCCTCTTGGATGCAGCTGAATTTCCATGTTACAGAAAAAATGAAAAAATGTTATCAGCCCTGGAAATAAGAAAGTCAAATTAACATGACTTGCAGCACTCTGCAACTATTCATATTCTGTTCTCTGAGCAGTGTTCATTTGCAGAACTTCATTGAATTTAGAAGTATCACTTTAGACAAACACATCCTTAACTGAAATAAGATTTTGACTATAAATGTTTAAGACGTGAAACACTAAATTAAAAAATCCACTTTAAAGAGCTTGTAAGTTAAATGAGTGCTTGAAAACTCAGCACAAATTAATCATCTGCTTCCAGACATCTGTTACCTTAAAAATGTGCTTCCTTAAGTCTATTACTCCTTGAAATGAGATCACATAAATCCTGTGTGACTGCACTGGGGAGCTGCAGCCTGCCCCCAGCTGCACTGTGATTGCCCACCCAAGGGGTGCCTGGAGCAGGGGCTGGAGCAGGGCTGCAGAGCTGCAGGGGAATCAGGGCCACCCCGGCCCTGGGGAGCTCAGTGCCCCAGGGCAGGTCCTAAGGGGATGCTGCAAATCCCACCCGGTGCTGCAGCAGTGTTTGATCCATCCCAGCTTCTGCAGGAATCTGCTGCTCCTCGTGGAACCGCACAGAGCTGTGGCCCAGTGAGCTGGTTCCTCAAGGAAGGAGGTCACAGCCCTCCTCACAGCCACAGGGCTGCACCACACCCAAAACTGGGGCTGTCAGACACCAGAGATTCCACCCCGGTGTCACTTTGTACACAGCCGCCTTCCCTGTGTGCTGGGATTAGATCAGAGAATGGTGGGGTTTGGAAATGACCTGACTGGTTTGAATATAAAGGAACTGTTTCTGTGTCATTATGAAATCCAACACGGCAGTTCCCATTTCTTTTAAATGCACCCACCAGGAAGAATGGGATTTATTTGCAGGTGCCCAGCCAAGCAGCCAGTGAGATCCAGGCTGTTCAGAACCTCAAGCTCCCTTTTCAGCATCCCTTTGCTGTGTTTTCACTGCAGACACACACACATGGAACCAGAGCAGCAAATCCACGTGTCTCCACCTGCAGAGAGGCTGCAGAGCTCCTCAGGCAGGAGCTGCACCCTCCAAACGCTGCTGGGGCTGCAGCAGTGACAGGGCAAGGCTCTGCTGCAGAGGGTTCTCATGTTAAACCCCCAACTGCTCCTGAAGCAAGGACTGACAAAGCACTGCAGCTGCTCTCCCTCCATCCCTGCATCCCTCCCCTACACACAAACACGGCCATGCCCACCTGCCAGGCCAGCACTGGGGGCACACACAAGGCCAGGTAACTCAGCTGTATACAGGTAACTCAGCTGTGCCCAGGTAACTCAGCTGTATACAGGTAACTCAGCTGCACCAGGTAACTCAGCTGCACCCAGGTAACTCAGCTGCGCCCAGGTAACTCAGCTGTATACAGGTAACTCAGCTGCACCAGGTAACTCAGCTGTGCCCAGGTAACTCAGCTGCACCCAGGTAACTCAGCTGTGCCCAGGTAACTCAGCTGCACCCAGGTAACTCAGCTACACCAGTAACTCAGCTGCACCCAGGTAACTCAGCTGTATACAGGTAACTCAGCTGCACCAGGTAACTCAGCTGTGCCCAGGTAACTCAGCTGCACCCAGGTAACTCAGCTGTGCCCAGGTAACTCAGCTGCACCAGGTAACTCAGCTGCACCCAGACTGTAAACTCTCCTGGCTGGTCCATAGCTACACTGAAGTCACAGGCAGAAGAAGATATTTCCACTTCCATGGCTTTCTACAAGCACAAAATCCCACCTCAACTAGGCCAGCCAGGCACTGTTCATTTTAATTTCTTTCTGTCTCAGCCAACAGAGGACTTTAAAAGATAATCTCTGGTAGAAATTCAATTTGTTTCTCCTCCTGCATGTCTAAGCAGATCTGTAATCAGTGTAATCACTGTGCCACTGTCTCATGTGACTGAGGGTCCTGCATGATTTTCCCTGTTGCAAAAAGGAACAGCATTAAAACAAATCCAAATGAGCATCAGTCCAAGAACAAAATTGACCCAACATGCTCCTGGGTGAAAACCTGGCTGTTCTTTCACAAAATGTTTTATTCTTACATACCTTAATCTTATTTAAGATGCGAATGGGAAACTCAGGATGAAAGCCTTCCTACCAAAGCATCAGAACAGGGGCTCCTGTGCAAGAGTGAGGGATGTGGAATGGCTCCTGACACCTGGAACATTCTGTACAACTGTTTAAAGTTGGAGCTGTTGATATTCCAGTAAACAATCATTTAAATGTAACTGGACACTCTTCCTGGCTTTGAATTAGAAAATATGTAATTTCTCAAAAGTAATATTCCAAACCCATCTGTTCTCTGCAGATTCTTGAACAGCTTAATTTATGCCTTCTGCCAAGAATTAGCAAAGCAATCTAAGCCTGCTACCCCAGGATGTGAGCCACTAGTCTTTACTAGGCTGAAGTGGTTGTTTATTCTGTGTTGGTACAGATTCTGCACCAAAAAAATCTTCAGTAGATGGATGTCCAAAAAGCTGCAGCCTTGTTCAGACAGTTTAATTGATTTTGGGAGAGGACTAAAATTGAGTGGCCAGCTAGATGTCTGAAGTGCAGATTGCTGCTCTGTCCCACCCAGAAATCTAAACCCTGGCTCTGTACAGGGCTGCTGGGACCCACACACCAGCCGTTCCCAGGGTCTCAAGGCTGAATTTCTGAACCCAGCATCCCTTCAGTTCATGATGCAGGGCACAAAGCTGGAGAAGGAGGCATTTGCAGTTCTCCCAAAGTGCCCCATTCCCACGGGGTTTTGGAGCTCCTGCTCAGAGCATGTCACCCCCAGGCTGGGGATTTTCTGGGACCCCAAATTGCTGCTGCAGCACCGATTCACAGTGACACAAACATTTCTGGCCCACAGTGTCCCACCCCAGCTGGGGGCTGGCATCACCAGTACTCACAGTGACACACATCACCTGGGCACTGGAGGATCAGCAGGGTGGTTCAGGTACCCCAGGGCGCTTCATGGCAGGAACATCCACCCAGGAGCAGCTGGATTGGCAGCAGGTGCATTTGTTTGTAGTGCTTCCACTCCGTGAAAGAAAATGAAGCTTGTTCATTTAAACTAAAACTGAAGAAATATTTTTTATATATATATATATATATATAAAGGCTGATGTGTATTTGGCTTCAGCTGCACTCCAGAAACCCTGCCCTGCTCCATTAGCCAAATGTCACTGTCACACAAAGAACTGTCCCCATCTGGATTAACTTCTAAAATTTAGAGAAGAGTATAAGAGATTATGTGATAAAACACTGCTGCAATAATCTATCCTGACCTCCTTCAAGCACCATACAATTTTTCTAAATTAATTCCAATTAAAGCAAGTTTTTTCACCTCCCACAATGGAGATGTTCTCATTTGCTTCCTTACAAGGCACTTTTGCTAGGCCTCAGTCACACCTGCCAGACTGCATCCTGGCTATGAGAAATCCAGGTGCAAAGCTGAAGGGATTAATCCAGTGTCTGGTTCTGGTCCTCCATGGAAAAATGCTTTTTGTTTAGAAAATCCCCTGTTCTGTCCCAAGTGGTACCACAGTCACTGTGCTGTGTTAGAGCCTGAGTGGGACAGTCAGACAAACTCAAGTGTGGCTCCTGACCCAGAAAGGAGACCAGAGCTCAGCTGCCACCTCCAGCCAAGAACCACCACCCTGTGAAATGAAGGATCCCTCCTTGCATCTCCTGCCAAGACAGATGTGTGCAGCCACTAACTGCTGCTGGATTCAGCTCCAATCTATTTGGATAGATGTTTTTTCAGAAAACATGTAACCAAGTGCTTAAAAATCTATTTTAATGACGTTTTCAAGAATAATAATACTCTGCATTACAAAAGAAAGAGGTAAAAGGTACGTCTTTGACATATCAGAAAAACTTACAGCAAAGGCATAGAGTATCTTCCAACCAAAATAAAGCTATGTTGTTCCCTACAGGGAAGCTTTGAGTGTCTGAGATTCCTTCACCCAATTCACTTTCAGCCTTCATAGAAAAAGGTGAACAGTCAAAATAGTCACTCTACCATGTCAGCTTAAATATTCCACTGACTGTCGACAATTCAGCAATAAAATTACAAATATACAGAAAATGGATCTACTGTACCAAAGCTACTCACACAACCAACAGCAAAAAATACAAAACAAAATAAGCAGAAATAAAGTGTTTTCATTCATAAAAGTATAATTACTCGCACATTCCACTCTGTCCCAAATCAACACAGTAACCAAAAAGGAAGACAACTGTTGTCACACTTTGTAGAGAGGGCAGAAGACAAATCTACACAGGACTCACATATCTGGACTAACCCTAATTCTACAAACCATTTGCTGCAGACTCACAGTTCATACATGAAAACACGTAAAATTTATAGTAACAATTCAGAACAAGTGATGCTAATGAAGGGTTGCTGCCTGTTGGGCAGAACAAGCCCCAGTCCAGCATTCCAGACACCACAGTGCTTTGGAGAATCCTCACAAAAGGCCAAAAGTGTTTTTCCAAGCAGGAGGACAAGACACAAGGAAACCAGTATTGCCTTCAGTGCAATGTCAGGCTTTGGAGCACGGCATTACGGACACAGAATGCTACAAATGCACACGGGCTCCATCAGCAGCACCCCTAAGGATGGAGGGCAGCTCCTGCCTCCCTCAGCCCTGGCAGGAAGGGGCTCGTTAAACCACCCCTGACTTACTGGCATGAAACTGCTTATTTGAAATACGCTGTAAGCTCCAAGCAGCTCCTGTGCGCTGCAGAGCAGCAGGCCGCGCCGGGCCGTGCCTAGAGCCGGAGCAGGAAATAGATCTCGGGCTGCTCCTGGGCGCCGGGAGGCAGCGGCAGCTCCCCGCAGCCGTGCTGCCGCAGCTCCCCGCAGGCGAACGGCAGCTCCCCGCAGCCGAGCTGCCGCAGAGCAGAGCAGGCTCCCTCGGGCACGCCGCGCCGCTCGCCGGGGCAGCCGCGCAGGTAGCGGCCGATGCAGGAGCCCGTGGAGTGCCGGTTGGCGGCCAGCGGCGGCCCCGGGGCCTTGCTCCGCAGCACCACCCCGGGCACGGCGCCGCCCCCGCACGGCCGCGGCTTGCCCGCCGCCTCCTGCCGCTCCCGGGCGCGGCTGGCGATGTTCCGCACCCGGCTCTGGCTGCGGGACGACAGCTTCCTCACCAGGGCCCGCGGGCAGTCCTCGTCCGGCTGCCTGGGGCACGGCGGCTCCCGGCCGTCCTCCTGCTCCGGGGACAGCAGCCTCCGCAGCTGCTCCGTCAGCGCGTCCGTCGAGTGCGGCCTCACGCCCTGCATGGCGGCCAGCTTCCCGTCCCTCAGGCCCGAGGAGATGAAGCTCCTGCTGATGTACTGATACTTACTCTCGAAGTTGCAAGAGATGTCCTCCGAGGTCAGGTCTCCCAGGCTCTTGGACTTGCAGGGGCTGCTCTGCTGGATGGCCGGGTGTGCGGGGAACGGCAGAGCGCCGGGGCACAGGGGAAAGGCTGAGCCGGCCTGGGGGGCGCACACGGCAGCCCTGTGCTTCTCCGAGGGCTGCTGCCACGGAACCCCAGCGCTCTCACACGCGGGGACAGCCGGCTGGCTCCCTGCAGCCCCGCAGGTCCTGGAGCAGGGCCGGGCAGCGGCACAGGGCGCAGCGGTGGAGCTGCTCCCCGAGGTCCTGTCACCGCCGTGCCCGGTGGAGCTGCTCCCAGCGGTCCTGTCCCCGCCGGTGGAGCTGCTCCCTGAGCTCCTGTCACCGCCGGTGGAGCTGCTCCCCGAGGTCCTGTCCCCACCGATGGAGCTGCTCCCTGAGCTCCTGTCCCCACCGATGGAGCTGCTCCCAGCGGTCCTGTCCCCGCCGTGCCCGGGCTCCTGCCTCTGCCTGAGGCTCACGGGCGAGGCCAGCTGGCTCATGTCCTCGCGTCGGTACTCACGGGCGGTCACCAGGAGCTCCTGGCAGTCCCCATCCAGCTCCAGCAGGCTGCTGCTGGCCGAGTGCTCCCCAGGGACAGGGCGCCCCAGCGGCTCCTCAAAGATGAGGCTGTTGGACCCAAAGGAGCTGGCAGGCTCGGGGGCTTCCCAGCTTGGTCCAGATCTTGTAGCACAGTTCCTTTTGGGATTTGCGTTTAGCAAAGAGAGGGATGAAGAGCAAGAAGAGCTGGGCAAGTTACCTTCTAGATTATTTAATCTTTTCTTGCAAACTAGTGCCCTGTGGCTCTTACATTCAGAAGGTGGAGATGCCTCGTGGAGAACTGTGTATGTGGAATACTCTGCATCCTCTAGGCTGGAGAACATGGCTGCGTCCAGAGTGGAGAATAAAGAGGATTTTGTGGGAGTGAAGTTGTGCCTACAGGGGCTGCTCAGGTCTGCCGCAAACACGTGTGGGACTGCATTCCCCACCCTGGGGGTCTGGTTGGTGCTGCCATGGGGGCTGGAGACAGGGGAAAGGGGAGTTTGGTCATCTGTGCCATCGAGCTGCCCGATGAGAGTGGACACAGCGCTGTCCAGCTCGCTCTCAGTCGAGAGAGAGACTTCATCAATGAGGTGAGAAATGTCACTGTCCTGCAGGGCCGCCGTGGAGGGACAGTCAGGGCTCTCAGAGCACTCGGCAGAAGAAGGGGAAAGAGGTGCTGCAGTGCTTTTCTTCGTCTCACATTTGTGATTCCCCACCTCTGCGCTCTGAGAAACAGAAGTCCCCATGAGACTGATCTTCCCTTCCTTAGATCCTTTTGTGTCATCTTCCTTTTTACTGTCTGCACAGTTTCTGTGGTGTAATTTTTCTGTGGGAAGTTCAGAGTCAGAGTCTTGCGTTAGGGGGACAGTTCCATCAGAAAGATTATTCTCCTGGTAATCCACAAGATGATTTGCTTGAGCTACACCATTTGCAAAAACCAAATGTTCAGGTTGCTCCTGTGGAGGTGGTACTAAACAGTCAGCTGTAGAATCCCTCTGGTCATTCTCCTTCTTGAACTGAGATGCTAAATGTGAAGCATTTGACTTTTGCTCCGAACGTGGAGAACCCAATTCTTTCAAGCTTGTTTCCTTCTCATTTGTATTGTCATCACTGTTGGCTAAATTAAACAAGAAACATATTAGTGGCATTAAAGACTCTGCTCTGTCTATCAACAGCTATTTTGTCCTTAGACAGACAAATGGAGAACTCAAAACTAGGTACAGTTGTGACAGAACTTAATCATGAGGTTGTGCAGGTTTAGTACAAATTATCTGAGTGACATGAATAAATGGAAAAATACAACCGCAGGCACTTCATTGAAATTTCCTTGGAATGTCTATTACATCAAGCAGGTGATGTAATATTTGTTGTAAGTAATGTTAATGAGGTACCACATCATAGCTTGCACGTGGCATTACCTTCAGCTGTGTTCCTAGTCACATTTGTACTATAAAGAAGCGTGGCAATAAAGACAGAACAAAACAGCTCTGTTAAAACACACAACACTTGAAAACAAGATGCATGCTTCAAGCTGAGTCAAAAGCATCGAGTAGATGGACTCCAGACTGGTTTATACATGTGGCTACTGCAAAGTGTTACAGTACAAGGATTTTGTTTGGATCTTCTACCAGCAGGCAGCATTCACAAGGGCAAGGGTTTGAATTCCTCGAAAAACACATATTGGGTGTTTTCTCCACAAATCCTCTTGTCTTTCTATGCCAGATTTGAGCTCTGTGACTCACTCCTTTGGAGATTTAATGAAGCAGGGATTATAGAAGTAAACTCGGTGCAATAGATACCGGTTTTAATGATTGCTAGAAATCAGGTACTGTTGGAAGAGGCGAGGGGAGCCCTGACCATTCACCAGAGGTAATTTTGGAAGCACCTTACCAGATGTGTTGTCCTGTCCCTCGGCCTCCTGGGCAGTGTCCTGTGCGGGGCAGGGCAGCTCCACCATGAGGAACCTGTCCACGGGCATGGAGGCGGGGCGCGCCTGCGAGGGGCGGCTCGGCCGCCGCAGCACCCCGTCCTTGTCCTTCAGGTCTGCCGGCTCCGAGGCGCTGTCCTTCATCTCAGCAGCCTCCAGGAAGCCCATCTTGCTCTTCTTCCTGCCCTTGGCCGGGGCGCTGGCCGTGCGCCGCAGGATGCGCTCGCCGATGGAGCGCTTGCGCGCGTGGTGCCCGCCGGGCTCGGCCGTGCCCGCCTTGGGCGCCTTGGAGAACAGCCCTCGGAGCCCCATCAGCTGCTTGCTCTGCAGGGACACAAAGCACAGCCTGCCTGAGCTCACGCCCGCTCACGGGGCAGAGAGCTGCTCTCACAGCGCTGATGAGCGATGACGGCAAAGTTCAAAACGCAGCAAAGCAAAAATCCACACCAAGCCACTCACAGCTACTCTGAGCAAGGAGCTCCAGCACAGGTCTCCATGGATTCATGCATGCCTGCCTTTCTCCTCATGAGGATGGCAGCCTGCCACAGTTACCAGAGAGCTTTGCTCAGCCTCCTAATGGGACCTGACAAGGCTCTAGGAAGTGCTCGGCAGTGACAGGCTGCACATGAACGTGGAGTTTTCTATGCATGGGTTTCATCAAAGCAATATTCAGATGTTTCAGAGCCTGCATGGAGAATGGTTCCAGTTTGGCAGTTGCAGATCATGCGATTGGGAACCACTGGAAAGTCTGTGCCCAGCAAGTGCAAAGTGCATGCTCAATGAGCTCTACCTTGGTGGCTCCTAGAAAGTGCATTATTGTGTAACTGGGATTGAGGATTAAAGGGCTCCACTGAAAGGCAAAAAGAAATGCAAATCCATTTGGCTAATGTTTTCAAGACTGCCACACAAGCAAATAAGGTAACAGTACATCAGCTGTAAACAACCACTCTACAGCAAACCATTTAAAGCTATTTCTGAGTTGAATATGTGTCCCCCAGGAACTGAGCAAATCTCCTCAGTCAGCCTATGAGAAACAGCAGTGCAGCCATCATTGATTCAGAGCAGCATCAGGGGAACAGACTCAGGGACGGAGAGGGAATCCCAGCGGGTATCCCCTCCTGCTCCCCTTGCCCTCCCTCTGGAGTTTTCTTGAGCAGATTTGTTCTTGAAAAGGCAGCAGCCAAACAGGCCTGTGCCAACCATTTCCAAGGGATGTGATCTGCCAGATCTGCCCAGATGTGCACGAGATCCCATCCCGTGATCCGAGGGGATCAGGGAGGAGAAGGGAAGTGGAGCTGGGAGAGGATCTGGACAAGAGCAAACCTCAGCCCTGGGCCCTTCTCTCTGCTGTCTCTCTGTTCCCCTGAGCTTTCTGTGGGTGCTGCACAACTTTGGGTTCATGTTTGTCATGACATTCTCTGCATCCTCTCAGAAGGCACAAAGACTGAGGGCTGTGTCCTCTGCAACCTCAAATCTCACAAAGGTCAGGGTTTTGTGTTTATCTTTGTTTCTTAAATCACTGCTAAGGTGCTATTTTACTTTATCCTTCTGCTGACCATGGCCTTAATTTCTTTGTGCTGCTTATCTCCAGATGGAAACAGTTAAGGAAGGGCAGCTGAAAACACAGAAAAAGCACTGTGCTTTCACTTTCACTTTAAAATCATTCTAAAATTAGCAAACTTGCAGAAAAGCAAGATCTATGCACTAAAACCTAAAAGTAAATTAGGTTAATTTAAATTAATTTAATTAGCTGCTAAAAATAGCTTGTCAAATATTGTGATCTGGTGCAGCTACAGTTCTCAGGATCTACTTGCAAAATAAGATCAGTGTAGTACACTGAAGAAATGTACCTCCTGTACCTAGACAAGATCATTGTTAGGTGCTAACAGTAACAACATCTGCAAGCATGTGCACACCAAGAGTGGAGTCATGGTATGGTGACCTTTCCTCGCTGATCTCCTGCAGGGAAACCCCACACACTCTGAGCCTCCTGGGCACTCCAGCACAAATCCTGGGAGGTTCTGGGCTACATTTAAATCCGTTTTTATTAGAAGATGTAAATTTCCAGCTGTACCTACCTTTCCATAGGTCTCATTAATGATTATATGAACAAATATGGAAGCTTCTGTCAGTCCTTCTAAGTACACATGGCGATAGCCTGGGGAAACAGAAATAGGAATATTTCCACACAAACCTCCACCAAGAACCAGCAGTTTGCATTTTATGCCCAGCTAGCAATGACTGCCTATAAAAGTGATGTACACACAGGAAGCCACCTGGTGCCTTCAGTAAACTTCTCTGGGGTCCTCACAGGTTTTCTGATCCCCAGCACAAATTGCCTCCAAGTTATAAAAAACACACCAGCAGTAATTTCCAAAAGCACAGACAACCAAACTCCTTTTTGGGATGGTGCATAAAGCACCCTAAGAGAACAGAAGAGTTGTCCAAGTTTCACATGAAGTCACAGAGATAAAGGTTTATAAAATCTATCATCTCGTGCTGCTAACGTCCTCCTTGGGTTTGAGGGAGGATTTGCACACCCAGGAGAGCAGGGGGACTCACCAGGCACGAGGCTGCTGAAGGCCACAGTTCTCTGGCCCACAAAGTCCCTCCCGATGGGGTCGTGGTCCCAGACCAGGAACCGCACCAGGGCCATCTCGGGCATGTGGATGGTGAAGGTGAGGGTCTCCTCCCACACAGGATTGAACCCTGCAGGGCAAACAGAGCGAGTGCCTGCCTCAGTTCCAGGAGCACAGGGCACAGGGACACAGCAGCAGCAATGACAGTTCCATCATGCCAGTCATTAGCTGTGACACATCTGCCTCTAGGATTGCTTTGAAAACAAAATGGGTCTGCCTGGGAGATGCCCAGGCAAGCCCTGAGATAGATACAGATATAGATACAGAGAGATTTGAGCTTCTGCATAAAGGAGATCTAAGAACAATTCAGTTAAAAGACAATGTGGGAGACAACTCCTGCCCTTCACCTCTAACTTGTTTGTCTCCACACCAGAAATTCTGTCTGGGAAGCAGAAATAATTTGTTAAAATACAATAATTTGATTTCATCAGATAAGATGCTTTGCAATTTAGAAAGCAATAACAGACACTAATTCATTTACACTTATTTAATATTTTACTCTAAGAAAAAGAAATCTCTTAGATTATCTTACCATTGTCATCCACCACTCTGGTCTGATCTTTACAGCAGTCAACAGGTAACCCAATAATCTCCACCTCAACAAAGGGATCTATGATCTGTTTTTCAAAAACACAAGATTTTAAAAGCAAGCCAGCCATACAAATGAAGGTGATTTTTTTAAAAATTAATGGGGAGAGTTGATTTAAATTCATATGAGAATTCAAACTCCTTTGATTGACATGAATTTTCAAGCAGCACTATCATGGGAATTGGTTCCATGGAGTACATGTTGATGTATGATTTGCATCAAGAGCTATGGACAGCTATTACTAATCTTCATAAAAGTCACCCTTTAAAATACAAAACAAATCACTTCTTAAACATCACAAGTAGGATACAGGCTGGGGGAAGTGTAGTATATTGTGACCAAAAGTTTGACAAGATGTGAAATTTACTGGTGTATTTGAATAAGGAGAAGGCTTGAGTCCCACACTGCCTGTCACTGCCGAGCTCCCCTGGCATGCACCAGAGCATCTCACCTCTCCTCTGTCCCCCAGCATTGAGTCAGGGGGCTTGGGGAGCTGCTGCCCACTGATGATCTTCAGAATCAGCTGCTTCTTAGGACTGGCAGGAAGTGGATCAGCAGAGTAGGGGTTGAACGTGCCTGAAAGATGGCAAGAATGAGATTGTAAGGGAAAAGATACACATAATAAATATCTCCCCCCAAAACACACAGACAGACTAATTCAGTCAGAAATGACAAACTATGAGTATGGAGCAGCTGCTCAGTAATTTTAAAATTCTCTTTCTTTTTTTTACAACCTTTTCTGAGACAAGACCCTTGGTTTTGTGATTCCAAGGCAGAGCTAGACCAAGCCCTGGATACTTGCCCCTGGGCCACTGCAGAGCTTCCTCTACTTTCCTGCAGCTGGTCATCCTAGGACCCCTTTTTCTTCTTTTTAACTCATGTTAATAAGGCAAAGACCTCGAAATACATACATATATATATATATAGATATAGATATATAGATATATGATCACAGTAAGAGATTGCACACTGATACAAGTCTAAGAGCTGTGAGTGCATGGAAATATGAAAGATTTTAGATTTGTTTGCATTTTCCTTTCTTGTGTCTTCCCTGTGAAGGACACTTTGTGAAAGGCCTGGCAGCTACAGTGATAACTGCACTGAACCTTACCTTTGCACATCTGCTGAGGTTTGAGGACATAACCACAGTTGCCATTTACCCTGAATTTTGCTTCATTTAACTGCATCACACGTCCCTCAGACTGGTAGTTTAGGGCCACTGAAAGGGAAAAGTGGGGTGCCATTAATAAAGATAATATTATTAGGCACACAGACACCAAAAGGGAAGGAAGTCTTTCACACAGCTCCTACCTAACTGGCAGCCCACATTCCAGTAGGGAACAGGGTTGAAGTTGCTGGAGTCGATCCGGTAGGCTGAGGGATAGACCCGGGTCAGCTGCCTCTGGTTGTAAAGCATGAACTGCTCAGCCTTCTGCTGCACTGCCTGGTGGGCTCTGGTCTCACTGAACGACAGCACGTTCCCTGTGGAGCCTGTGTGCCATGGCACAACCAACAGACAGGTGACAAACAGTCCAGGGCACGGGCCTGAGCCCAGACCTCATTACCTGGCTATTCATCAAGGGCAACGTGAGATTGAGTCCAGTGTTCCAGGACAGATTGTCTTGTCCTTCACAAACCATGCACCCTGGGTAACTGATGGGCACCAGCTCCCCCTCTCCCCCTTCCAGGAGGGTCTGTTGCTCTCCCCTCAAGTCTGCACACTTGAAAGGAAAGCCAAGTGGGAGCTTGGCAGCTCTAGGGAACCTGTAGCAAAATCCTCTGCTGGCAGCAGGGCCAGAGGAGTCACTGCCAGGGAGGGAGTGCCCTGCTGGGCTCTGGTTTGCCCTGGTGCCACCCTAACAGCAGCACTCAGCTCCTCCTTTCACAGTGACAGGGACATGCCAGCCAGGTGCCAGCCCTGTGCCACCCTAACAGCAGCACTCAGCCCCTCCTCTCCCAGTGACAGGGGACATGCCAGCCCTGTGCCACCCTAACAGCAGCACTCAGCCCCTCCTCTCCCAGTGACAGGGTACACATGCCAGCCCTGTGCCACCCTAACAGCAGCACTCAGCCCCTCCTCTCCCAGTGACAGGGTACACATGCCAGCCCTGTGCCACCCTAACAGCAGCACTCAGCTCCTCCTTTCACAGTGACAGGGACATGCCAGCCCTGTGCCACCCTAACAGCAGCACTCAGCCCCTCCTCTCCCAGTGACAGGGTACACATGCCAGCCCTGTGCCACCCTAACAGCAGCACTCAGCTCCTCCTTTCACAGTGACAGGGACATGCCAGCCCTGTGCCACCCTAACAGCAGCACTCAGCTCCTCCTTTCACAGTGACAGGGACATGCCAGCCAGGTGCCAGCCCTGTGCCACCCCGTACCATCATCCACGATGTCCTGGGCTGCCACGGAGTTGGTGTACACCACCAGGTCCGACAGGGCCCGGCACAGCTTCACTGTCTTCCTGCGGCGGGCCAGCCTGCTGGGTGAAAGCAAACAGAAACGGGCACTTGCAGGGCTGAAGTGTATTCCAATCCCCCTTTCTGTTCTTTCCAACAACAAGGAAATGAAGAATTGTGAGCAGGGGACCCTGTGAGGCACACTTCCTTGCAGAGGGTTCTGGGATGACTGCTCCCCTCTACCTCCACAGCCCATCCACAAACAAAATTTTTCATTTAAAATATAATGGAATAGCTGCACCATGGCTGTTCTAGACGAAGCCAAGGAGCATTTCAGTGAGAGCAGACACATTCTCAGTGGCACTTTTCTGATTGCTTTTTTTCCCATTCTCAGATGCAATAAAGTTGCCTGAGCTGTGATGCGCGTTCTGTAACCTGCACAGTTTGCTCTGTTTGCAGCAGGTGAAATAGGGCCTGGCACCTTTCCATGGGCACTGGCACTGTCACACCTCTGTGCAGTTAATTGCTGCTTGCAGCCTGTGACAGGTGACACAGCCACAACACCGGGCTCACAGCAAACCCAGCTGACAGCTGTCACGTGTGGCAGACACATCACACGTGACACACACACACACAGGACCTGCTCTGGCACAGCCTACATGCTGATGGCACAGAGCAGCCCTGGCCTCACCCGAGGGGCTGCAGCTCACCTGTGGGGCTGCCCCAGCTCCTTGCCCGGAGGGTGCTGCTGGCCGTCCTCATCGTCCGAGGCACTGTGGGCTTTGGCTGCTGCCTTGGCAGCTCTCTGTGGGGAAAGAGCCAGGCAGGGTCAGTCACTGTAACAGGGGCTCCTGTTACTGGGGCTGGGGCTGGGCAGGAGGCTGAGCTGGGCTCTGCAGCCCTGGGGATTAAAGTGACCCCTGGGGCTGGGCCGGCAGAGCTTCCCTGCTGTGGAGAAGAAAAAGCAGCGCAGAGCACCCATGGCAGGGATTCCAGCTGTGGGCAGGAGCAGCTCTGGGTGCTGCCAGGCCTCAGGGGTCGTTTCTGTGTGCTGACAGCCCAGCCAGGCCTCAGAGGTCATTTCTGTGTTCTGCCAGGCCTCAGGGCTCATTCCTGGGTGCTGCCAGCCCAGCCAGGCCTCATTTCTGGGTGTTGCCAGCCCAGCCAGGCCTCAGGGGTCGTTTCTGTGTTCTGCCAGGCCTCAGGGCTCATTTCTGGGTGCTGCCAGCCCAGCCAGGCCTCATTTCTGGGTGCTGCCAGCCCAGCCAGGCCTCAGGGGTCGTTTCTGTGTTCTGCCAGGCCTCAGGGCTCATTTCTGGGTGCTGTCAGTCCTCGGGGCTCATTTCTGGGTGCTGCCAGCCCAGCCAGGCCTCATTTCTGGGTGCTGCCAGCCCAGCCAGGCCTCAGGGGTCGTTTCTGTGTTCTGCCAGGCCTCAGGGCTCATTCCTGGGTGCTGCCAGCCCAGCCAGGCCTCAGGGCTCATTTCTGCCATGGTCTGTCCAGCACAGGCCGCTCTGTGCTCTGCCCCTGCCCTGCTCCCTCCCAACACCAGAGGACAACGCTGCTCCCCTGACTGCAGGGCACTGCTCCTGCAGGACTCCTACTGGAATCCCAGTGGGTTGTGTCCTGTTTAAATAACAGCAACACACAGCAGGGTCTAAATATACAGAGCACTGCTTATGCCCACCTGTGCCCCTCCCCAGTTTAGAAAATTAAAAGCATTCATTAGTGAAGGTGTGAACAGAGTAAGGGCAAAATGTTCAAACATCATCTTCCTGCTCCATTTTGAGCCACATACAAATATTCAAGTGATTCTAAATTATTACACTATAAAGAAAATAGCTAGGATAAAAAGATTAAAACCTCAAAATCCCCTTTTTTCATAAGCACCTATGATTTAACAGTTTCCGATTTCAACATTACATCTTTTGTAATGCTAAACAGCTTCAAGTGAGAGTTACTTAATCCCCTTCTCGTCAAGAAGTAATTAATATAACTGAGAGCTCCTTATCCTTTTGCACAGAGCTCACTGAGCACAGATTTCTTTCCTTCTCTTGTCCTACACCCTATTGGACATAATTCAGTTTGCTGTGTTTGGTGCTGACATGAAGCTGACTGTATTGGAAATAATTTGCATGGTTCACTTTGGAGTCTGAAGGTCTGCACTGAGCATGTTCCACACAGTTAACTTTCAGGAATTGCCAGCTTTAGTGTCTTTGTACCTCATCAGTAGTTTTTAAAGTGTTTGTTCATTTGGCACAAGAGCTGGCTGAAAATGTCATGTGTCAATATTGTTGGGTGGATAATTCTGTATCTGCAAAAAGATCAATAGTAACCAGTCTTCCCAGGCATCCCTTCAGCTGGAAAGGCATCAGGGAGCAGTTACAGGATGTCTCTGTTGCCTCAGTCTACAACACAATCACTATTTTCTAAAAAAATCTATATATACTCTTATTTATTTTCACCAGAGATGAAATGAACAGGCTTTCCAAACCTGCTATATCCATTAGGATAACTAGCTGAAGTAATTAAATTATTGACAGGCTTTCAGCCCTCAGCAGATTCCAGTGGCTGACATTTGCCTGTGACATGTCAAACCCAGCATTTGTGTGGCCAGCAGCAAGCACAGGGTGCCAGGAGCAGTGCCCACTCTCAGGTGCCCATGAGGGGGGAACATGCACTGAGCTGAAGGTGCTGAAGGGAACACGAGCACTGTAACTGATGCAAGCTTGGAACTGAAGGGTAAACATGAGCCCTGGTACTGTCTGCTTGGGGAATGTTGATGGCTCCTAGCTGGCTTCAGGGCAGATGGACTGCTGGCTGATTAAGTTCTTTGAAATGTCTCTTAATCACAAAAAACCGCTCATATTCTCAGTCCCCAAGCTCGGTGCAGCCCTCACCATGGAGAGCAGAGTCTGGAGGGCTGGGGCAGAGGCTGCTGGTGGGACAGGGGCTGGCTGGGCTGCAGAGCTGCCTCTGTGCTCAGTGACCACTGCAGCTCTCACTGACAGAGCTGCAGAGCTGCCTCTGTGCTCAGCCATGCACTGCAGCTCTCACTGACAGGGCTGCAGAGCTGCCTCGGTGCTCAGCCATGCACTGCAGCTCTCACTGACAGAGCTGCAGAGCTGCCTCGGTGCTCAGCCATGCACTGCAGCTCTCACTGGCTGGGCTGCAGAGCTGCCTCTGTGCTCAGCCATGCACTGCAGCTCTCACTGACAGGGCTGCAGAGCTGCCTCTGTGCTCAGCCATGCACTGCAGCTCTCACTGACAGGGCTGCAGAGCTGCCTCTGTGCTCAGCCATGCACTGCAGCTCTCACTGGCTGGGCTGCAGAGCTGCCTCTGTGCTCAGCCATGCACTGCAGCTCTCACTGGCTGGGCTGCAGAGCTGCCTCTGTGCTCAGCCATGCACTGCAGCTCTCACTGGCTGGGCTGCAGAGCTGCCTCTGTGCTCAGTGACCACTGCAGCTCTCACTGACAGAGCTGCAGAGCTGCCTCTGTGCTCAGCCATGCACTGCAGCTCTCACTGACAGGGCTGCAGAGCTGCCTCTGTGCTCAGCCATGCACTGCAGCTCTCACTGGCTGGGCTGCAGAGCTGCCTCTGTGCTCAGCCATGCACTGCAGCTCTCACTGGCTGGGCTGCAGAGCTGCCTCTGTGCTCAGCCATGCACTGCAGCTCTCACTGACAGAGCTGCAGAGCTGCCTCTGTGCTCAGTGACCACTGCAGCTCTCACTGGCTGGGCTGCAGAGCTGCCTCTGTGCTCAGCCATGCACTGCAGCTCTCACTGACAGAGCTGCAGAGCTGCCTCTGTGCTCAGTGACCACTGCAGCTCTCACTGGCTGGGCTGCAGAGCTGCCTCTGTGCTCAGTGACCACTGCAGCTCTCACTGGCTGGGCTGCAGAGCTGCCTCTGTGCTCAGTGACCACTGCAGCTCTCACTGGCTGGGCTGCAGAGCTGCCTCTGTGCTCAGTGACCACTGCAGCTCTCACTGACAGAGCTGCAGAGCTGCCTCTGTGCTCAGTGACCACTGCAGCTCTCACTGACAGAGCTGCAGAGCTGCCTCTGTGCTCAGTGACCACTGCAGCTCTCACTGGCTGGGCTGCAGAGCTGCCTCTGTGCTCAGTGACCACTGCAGCTCTCACTGACAGAGCTGCAGAGCTGCCTCTGTGCTCAGTGACCACTGCAGCTCTCACTGACAGGGCTGCAGAGCTGCCTCTGTGCTCAGTGACCACTGCAGCTCTCACTGACAGAGCTGCAGAGCTGCCTCTGTGCTCAGTGACCACTGCAGCTCTCACTGGCTGGGCTGCAGAGCTGCCTCTGTGCTCAGTGACCACTGCAGCTCTCACTGACAGAGCTGCAGAGCTGCCTCTGTGCTCAGTGACCACTGCAGCTCCCACTGACAGGGCTGCAGAGCTGCCTCTGTGCTCAGCCATGCACTGCAGCTCTCACTGGCTGGGCTGCAGAGCTGCCTCTGTGCTCAGCCATGCACTGCAGCTCTCACTGGCTGGGCTGCAGAGCTGCCTCTGTGCTCAGCCATGCACTGCAGCTCTCACTGACAGGGCTGCAGAGCTGCCTCTGTGCTCAGCCATGCACTGCAGCTCTCTGGCTGCAGCAGGAAGGGAGCTGGCAGCTGCAGCAGCTCAGGCTGAGGCAGTAAATCCTGGCTCAGGGCTCTGTGGGAGTGTGGCAGTAGGGGAGGCAGATGACAGGAGCACATTTGTCAGGATATGGAACGGAAGGAAACGTGGGCACTGTCCCTTGTGGGGGCTGCTCTGTGCCCAGCTGTGAAACGGGAGCTCTCAGCTCCTGCCTGGCCACGGAGACACCCCTGAGGAGCAGCAGGGCAGGCAGTCCAGCCCAGCAGCTGCACAGACATAACCAGGACAGGAAAACCAGGAGGAGATGAGGCAGAACACATCTGCACAGAGCAGGAGCCCAGAGCCAGCACGCAGCCATAGCAGCCCCTGGGAGCAGGGACAGTCCCAGCACGGCCCTGCTCAGGGTGGGACACAGCAAAACTGGGCCCTGACTGAACCAGGCACTGTTAGCTCCATGGAAAACAAGGTATGCCAAGACATTTGTCTCTGCTGCTGCAGGTTTGATCAGAAAATCAGCAATTCCACAGTTCAATCTTCTGAACAGATTAAGACACCAAGTGTAATCACACAGGCTCCCTCCTCGCTGCCCCCATGCCCACCACGCTTGTCTGGAGCAGTAAAACATTGCCAGGGTCTCTGGAATGCTGCCAGTCCTACAACAGCAACCTCAGCTCTCATTATTTCACTCACCTTGTGTTTACTGAAGTTGCCCATTAATGATCGACCATGAGACTTTTTTCCACCTTCTTTTGTGTCCAAGTTCTGTGCAGAAAAAGTGCAGTAAAAAGTATAAATCAATACCTTCAGAAATGTCTTTAAGGAATCAGCTACAGTCTCCAAAATGCGGCATTTCAACCTCATACAAGTTCCTGTATGCCACCCTGGCTCACTATTAGGAAAATAAAATTATTGCAAATGAGACAAAGTAAGTTAAAATCTGATCTGTGAACAAATTGAAATCCAAAATCCCATTACAGGACTTTTCTAATTTCTTTGCACACTTCACAGTTTACAATCATCTAACTGTAAAGAAAAATACTAACATTAGCACTCAAGACAACAACAAGTCATGTAGAAAAAGCAGTCTAGCAAAACCAGGCAAATAACAACAAACCAAGACATCTGAGTGTTCTTGAAAGCAGCCACAAAGGGAAAAGGGAGAGGAAAAAGAATCTCCTAGCAGATAAATGTGGACTTCTCATAGGCAGCCTGCAGGCTGAGTTCCACATTCCCAGCCATGCCCCCAGACATCAGCTGGATAACTCCTGGCAGCATCTCACTTCTTCTGTCAGGAACACACAGCCCTTCATCTTCTGAAGAGCAAAACAAAACTGAAGAATATTCCCCCAGCATTTCAGCTGGGTGAGTGTTTCAGTGCTGTGAACTCCAGCTACTCCCTGCTCAGGGCTGAGCTGGACTCACTCTGGGCTTTCATGACGATGATGGGCACTGGGGGCCCAGCAAAATCAATAACCTGGGTTCAGAGATTTGCTCAGAGCTCAGGCTGGAAGTCTCTGTAACAGTAGAAATAATCTTTAGCAGATTTTTACTTCTTTTAATAGCAATTATTTGGGAAAAATCAAAGGCAGACCAGTAATGAAGGAAAAATAAATGAACAGGAAAAAAACAGGAAAAAACCCAACTGCTCCCTTTCTAGTCCATCAGTTACACAGTAACTCCCAGAAAAGAGTTCTGTGACACTGGTTCCAGAGCAGGCACATCTCCACAGAAAATTCACTCTGTATTTAATGTCCCTGGAGTTTGCATGCAGTTCCTCAGTTCCCGGCTCTCTCATCTGAAACATCTGCAGCACACTGCACTGTGCCCTCCTCACAGCCCACGTACCTGCTTCATGTTCACACTGAAGCTCTGGTGAGTTGCCTTCAGCAGGGCCCTCACAGTGAAGCTGTCAGGATCCTCCTTGTCCCTGATTTGGGATTCTTTTAGCAGAGACTCCAGTTTTGTCCGTATGAAGGATTCCACCTGGTGCTGAGTTGCACCATTGCTCTGAAAGACACCAGGAAACTCAGTTCAGGTAGGGTTTGTGTCCATCCCATGCACACTGAGGGTCACACAGTGCTCCATTTCCTCCCCTCTGCAAGAACAGACTCCTTGCACAATCCTGCCTGATCCTGCCCTTGCTGCCTGTGGCTTTCACTGCCATTTCCCTTCTCCCTTTCCCCTGAGCCCTCCCAGCTCAGCTCACAGTCCCCCCACAGATCCCAGGACCTGCCCATGGGCTCTCTCTGCCCCACAGCTGTCACAAGCCCCCTTCTCTTTCAGAAGAGCATGAATTCCCAGCTAATGCACTTACAGACACCCTAAGCATTGGATTCCTGCTCCAAACAGTGACAAAAGGAAGTGATTTCTGTTAACAGTCATCCAGACCATAGAGACTCAAACCAGTCTCTTACATAAGGCACTTAAAGTAAAAGTGAATCCTGTGGAGCAGCATGAACCTGACACAGGAATTAAAAACTTAGGATGAAAAACTCTGCTAACTCTAAGTAGGACAGAAGTGTGCATGTAAGGGATGCAGAGCTGTCACACTCTGTGAGCTGTGTGCACATACAAAGCAGGGCTTTAACTTGCAGTCGTCCTCAATTTCATCAGCACTGTCCTCTTCTGAAACTTCTCCTTCCTCAGCATCTGCTCCAAGGCTGCAGGGCAACTTCTTACCCTAAAATGAGGAAAAAACACCCCAATAAATGCGGTCAGTGTTAGTTAGTGCACCCAGTCTGCCCCTCTTGCTTCACCATCTGCTCCTACACAAATCACCTACTAAACTTCTGTGATATTGCTCCTGTGCACAGAAATGTTCTCAGCCTACCTGCTTCATCAGTGGGAGACAGGAATGACACTCAGGATTTCTGCAGAAAGGCAGAGGATTGATTTTGAGGCTGCATTTTGAAATTAATAATGCTGCTGCTAATGAGGGGTCAAATTCACTTCATGCTGGTACCTTTACACTGGCTGAAATCCCTGAGTGTAACTAGAATGAATCTTTATATCCACTTACAGGATGAAAATCATGCCATTATTTGAAATTGTTTGTGAATCAATACTAGTGAATCAATACTGCCTTTCAAAGGAGAATATATAAAAAGAGCAAATGCAATAGCAAAAAGATGAGAAGCTGGCTTACTTCTCAACAAGGTACTGATTCCTAAATCTGATTTCATGTTTTCCAACAGAGCTGCTTAAATTGAGCAGGGGATGGGAAGCAGGGCTTTGTGCAGGGATGCTGGGATGCTCGAGATAGAATTTCTCATCCTGAAAGCAGCTCAGCTCCACAGGGCCCCAGCAGTGAGAGCTGGAGGATCACCCTGCAATGACAGCTCAGACGCGCTGGAAAGGCAGCTCAGAAGTTCAGGTAAGAGCCCAGAGCACCCAGCCTGCGCTGCCTTTAGCGCAGTGCCGGGGGATTTCTGCAGGAGTGATGTTCCACATGATTTCCTGTGGATCCCTCAAACACCAAACTGTGTTTGCACAGTTCATTAACCAGCAGCCACCCCAGCAAACGGATGCAGTGAAATGCAAAATCACGGCTGAGCACTCAAAGGGCTCCTAATTCAGGGTCAGCTCTGTACTGTGCACTGCAGCATGTTCAAGCTAACATCAGACAAACTGAGAATCCCTGCAGCCAAGGACAGGGGGAAAGCCAGAGTATCCTGAGAGTTCACACAGAAGTAATTGCCCCCCTGTGTCCCAGTAAATTAGACAATCTAATGCGGCAGAACTCTATTAATCATCCTCCCAAAGGTCTGCCTTGTGCTCCTTCCCTGTTTTATCCGTCCTGGCCTTTGGAATTCCTTTCAGAGCAAATCTGTTTGGAGTGAGGGGCTCACACAATTAATCCTGCACAGAGCTCTGGGGCTTCCTCCAGCTCCTCCTGAGCTGCTCTCCTCCCATAAACACAGCAGATGAGCCATGAACAGAGCTCCATCCCATGAACTGCAGCTCCAGCTCCTCCTGAGCTGCTCTCCTCCCATAAACACAGCAGATGAGCCATGAACAGAGCTCCATCCCATGAACTGCAGCTCCAGCTCCTCTTGAGCTGCTCTCCTCCCATAAACACAGCAGATGAGCCATGAACAGAGCTCCATCCCATGAACTGCAGCTCCAGCTCCTCCTGAGCTGCTCTCCTCCCATAAACACAGCAGATGAGCCATGAACAGAGCTCCATCCCATGAACTGCAGCTCCAGCTCCTCCTGAGCTGCTCTCCTCCCATAAACACAGCAGGTGAGCCATGAACAGAGCTCCATCCCATGAACTGCAGCTCCAGCTCCTCTTGAGCTGCTCTCCTCCCATAAACACAGCAGATGAGCCATGAACAGAGCTCCATCCCATGAACTGCAGCTCCAGCTCCTCCTGAGCTGCTCTCCTCCCATAAACACAGCAGATGAGCCATGAACAGAGCTCCATCCCATGAACTGCAGCTCCAGCTCCTCCTGAGCTGCTCTCCTCCCATAAACACAGCAGATGAGCCATGAACAGAGCTCCATCCCATGAACTGCAGCTCCAGCTCCTCCTGAGCTGCTCTCCTCCCATAAACACAGCAGATGAGCCATGAACAGAGCTCCATCCCATGAACTGCAGCTCCAGCTCCTCCTGAGCTGCTCTCCTCCCATAAACACAGCAGATGAGCCATGAACAGAGCTCCATCCCATGAACTGCAGCTCCAGCTCCTCCTGAGCTGCTCTCCTCCCATAAACACAGCAGATGAGCCATGAACAGAGCTCCATCCCATGAACTGCAGCTCCAGCTCCTCCTGAGCTGCTCTCCTCCCATAAACACAGCAGATGAGCCATGAACAGAGCTCCATCCCATGAACTGCAGCTCCAGCTCCTCCTGAGCTGCTCTCCTCCCATAAACACAGCAGATGAGCCATGAACAGAGCTCCATCCCATGAACTGCAGCTCCAGCTCCTCCTGAGCTGCTCTCCTCCCATAAACACAGCAGATGAGCCATGAACAGAGCTCCATCCCATGAACTGCAGCTCCAGCTCCTCCTGAGCTGCTCTCCTCCCATAAACACAGCAGATGAGCCATGAACAGAGCTCCATCCCATGAACTGCAGCTCCAGCTCCTCCTGAGCTGCTCTCCTCCCATAAACACAGCAGATGAGCCATGAACAGAGCTCCATCCCATGAACTGCAGCTCCAGCTCCTCCTGAGCTGCTCTCCTCCCATAAACACAGCAGATGAGCCATGAACAGAGCTCCATCCCATGAACTGCAGCTCCAGCTCCTCCTGAGCTGCTTTCCTCCCATAAACACAGCAGATGAGCCATGAACAGAGCTCCATCCCATGAACTGCAGCTCCAGCTCCTCCTGAGCTGCTCTCCTCCCATAAACACAGCAGGTGAGCCATGAACAGAGCTCCATCCCATGAACTGCAGCTCCCTGCTGGCTGAGGGGAAGGGCAGGAGAGCTTCACTTTTCTACCACTCCAAAGTACTTTGTCCAAGGAGAGACTGTCAGGTAATGTTTAGATGCTAAAGCGATATGAACTGGTCCTCCAAAGGAAATCTGCAATAAAAATCACAAGCTGACTTTTGTTGCATTCTCAACATGCCCAGCAAGTTACCTTCACTAGGATTTTCCCTTTTAAATCCTGAGGGCTGGGAAGCTGCCTGGGGTCTCCAGTGCTCACAGATGACAAGTCCAGTTTGTCACCAAATATCTCCTTCAGGTACTGGGCGATCTTCTTTTGCTGTAGAATGCTGCAGTGGTTTTCAATGGACAGGATCACTGGAAACCTGGAAACAAAGCCCCAGACACTGTCAGAGCTGCACCCTTACCACCCACCTGGGAATGGAACAGCCAAGATCTTGCACAGATTTGCCCCATTGTTCTCTAAACTCTTGGCAGCCCCAGGGCTCTATAACAAGGAACCCCACAGTAACTCCAACCATCTCCTTTAGTTTTGAAAGTACCACCTTGTACTTCTCATCAATAACACCAAACTTTTGGGCTTGGTTGTTTTCTTTCCCATAAATCCATTGTTGGGTGTTTTTTATTTAAATAAAGAAAAGGAAGTATTTTCCTTTTATTCTGTTTAAACTACTCAAAATTCTCGACACCCACTCATAATTTGAGACTACTCTGTATGTATGTGTGTATATATATATATATGGGTAAAATCCACAGTTTTCATAATAAACTCTTATAAAGCACCGTGGCAAATGAAACCGATTCAGAACACTACCCCACACCTCAGCATTTCCTCAAACTACACATGACAGCTTTTCAATTTCTCTGCTGAAATAAAGTATTTTCAGTAGGTAGAGAAGATCACAGTATCGATTTTTCAGGAGAATTTCCCTGTGGATGTGAGTGGGAAGTTCTGTTGAAAGATAATCAGCAGTGTCAGACTGTCCAAAGCCTTACTGAGTTCAAGAGCACAACAAGGTTCAACTTGGGCAGAACTCTCTCCCTCAACTGATGGGAAGAGCTTGTGCAGCTGAACAATAAATATAACCCAGGTAATAAAGAGGGGAACAGAATCTACCCTGATGTGCCTGAAGGAATATTTGCACTTCCTGGGCTTGATGGTTGTTTTCAGTGTGGGATTAAGTACAGAAAACAGGTGTAGCTGCAAAGCTGGCTCCACACTTACTCGTTTTTGATGAAGGCATATTTGTTGATGGTTTCTGCCACGTCCCGGAAGGGGATTTTGGAAGTCAGGGTGTAGCCATGGTGCACCACTGGCTCCCCATCTGGGCCATCCCAGCAATCCACTGTTGAGACCAGAACAGGTACACATTAAGGGATGCCCCCAGCCTCCCCATTCCTGTGCTCCTGCTGCCAGCAGAGCTCACCTGCTCAGCCAGGTTCACTCCATCCCTTGGCACCTCCATTCCATCTCCCCTGCCCTGCCAGCAGAGCTCAGACTAACAGGACAGTCTTTTCCTAGCTCAGATGACATTTCTGCATCCTAGAACTGTTTTCCCCCTTGTATTAATTTGAGGTTTTTTTCCTCATATATAAAACTACAAAAGTGTAATAGGTCAAATAATGTTTACAGCTACCTTGGGAATGGAGTTTTTGCTTCCGAGGACAAACTATTTTAAAAGAACTTATCTTTTCCCACTCCCAATTTAACTTGCAGCTTTATAACTGACTGTATGAAGAGTAGCATCAAATCCAGCACATGCAGAATGGACCAGCATAAGAATGCTTTTCCTAATGAATGCCTGTACCCAGAATTTGTACCAATCTTGTCACTGCTGCTGCCTCTACAGGCAGTTAAAGTTCCCAAGCAGAAAGCTGCAGAGCTAGTCCCTGGGCTCTCAAGTAGCTGCAATAGCTTTGAGGTCAAGGAAAATAACACTGCTGAGTGTTCTTGGGAGCTGTTCTGCAGAAGGCCATCACCCAGTTTTCTCAGGTTCATTTTCTCTAATTAATTTTTAAATAGAGATTAACAATATTTTTTTTCCAGATGACCTTTTGTAATGCTACTCATGAAAAATTAATGTTGAGTCTAACTTTGCCAAAAGACTTTATTTATTTTTGGAAAAGAAAGATACTAATACTAATATAAACCACTAATGTTTTGTTATTATTTAAATCATGCACAGTTTAAAAAAGAATCCAGTGTGATCCCCATGGCAGAGGGTTGGAGCTGGATGATCTTTAGAACCCCTTCCAACCATTCTGTGATTCTCTGGTGTCTGGGATGCCTGCCCAAGGTGATCATTCCCAACAGGAAAATCCAGTTTGGAGTGGTCAGAAAGTGCCTGAGGCAGCCCAGCATCGCTGCTGGGAGTGTGGCCCTGAGGCAGTGGCCAGTGCAGCTCCTGTGCTGCCCCATGCAGCCAGCCCTGTGCAGCCAGCCTCCATGTAGCCCCGTGCAGGCCCCATGCAGCCCTGTGCAGCTCCCATGCGGCCCCCATGCAGCCAGCCTCCGTGCATCCCCATGCAGCCAGCCCCCATGCATCCCCATGCAGCCAGCCTCCGTGCATCCCCATGCAGCCAGCCCCCATGCATCCCCATGCAGCTAGCCCCCATGCAGCTCACGTGCAGCCAGCCCCTGTGCAGGCCCCATGCAGCCCCCTGTAGCCCCCATGCAGCCAGCCCCCGAGCAGCCTCTATGTAGCCCCCATGCAGCCCCATGCAGCCCCCATGCAGCCCCCCCGTGCAGCCCCATGCAGCCCCCCATATGCAGCCCCATGCAGCCCACCTTCGACGCAGCGGCAGCCGGCCTGCAGCACGCGCGCGTACATGTCGGCGCGGGACTGGGAGAGCAGCTGGTCCCCGCTCAGGTAGGTGTTGTGGGACGAGGCGATGAAGTAGTGGCACAGGGGCTGCTGCATGTCCTGGTGCACGCGGCGGTGCAGCGGGTTGGACACCTCGCACGCCGGGCTGCGCATGAAGCTGGTGAAGCCTGCGGGCACAGGGCAGCGCTCTGAGCCCCCCTGGGCCTCTGCCGGTGGCCAGGCACCGCAGGGCACGGGGAGGCCGCCCCGGCTCACACACGAACGCCTTTCCCAGCAGAGCTCCCGGGTGGCACTCCTGTGCTGAGAGTGGCACTGCCCTCAGCACGCGGGGGCACGCGAGGCAGCAGCTGCCCAAAGCACAGCCGTGCATCGGCAGCCAGGGCGCTGACCCACCATCCTCGCTTCACAATTTCCTTTTTCCTGCAAGTTTATTCAAGAAGATGGCACTTCATTTATAACCCTCTAAACAGAGCAGCGCTGTACAGATAAAGTTTTAAAAATACATCCTTTAAGAATTAAACACGTAAAACGTTTGCAAAGGACTGTGCAAACAATACCAGCCCTGAAAGCAGCTCAGCGATAAAAGCAGCTGCAGCAGCAGGTTAAGAGGAGCAGAAATGCTTGCAGAAATATTGTTTAAGTGTCACAGCTTGTTTGTTTTCCTTTCTTTTTTCCAGTTTGAGTGCAGCGCCCTGGGTCACATCAGAAACTTGTTGAAGGGAGGCCATACCAAGGATTTAAATACCATGTGGAGGAAAATTCCTACTTCCCCCTCCCCAAATCACCACATACATAATGCTGCTCCACAGAAGCTTCCTTCTGGGCAAAGGAGCACAACATGGCTTTTAATCTGTTTCATCTCAGCTCTGAGGCTGATCTGATACTAAATTGGATTCTGAATAAACATACAATTTACAAGTGCTTTCACAAGCAACGGGAGTCACATATTTAAACCCAATGAAAATGCAACTATCTGTACTTTATTTCACAGAAGCATAAAGGAATGGATTGTGCAGGATCCCAGATCCCCAGAGCCGAGGCAGAATGAACACTTTGCTTTCATTACCTCGCTGGGAGCAGGCTGTAGATGAAGTGCATGGTCCAGGACAGTTTTGTGAGAGTGAGCAATAAATCCCCACAGCCTCAGGCATCCAGCCCCACTGCTGAGGGTGGCTGTGATGGATGGCTGAGAGCTGCTGCCTCACCACACTACTCACATCTCCCCCCTGACTCACAAAACGCTCCCACGCTCCCGACGGCTGATCCAGGGACAGCAAAAGCCTCACCAAAACACATCAAAGCACTTCCACTCCACTGCAGCATGGCCAGAGAAAACTCGCTCTGAAAACAAAACCTTTACCTTCAATCCCAAGAACGTTTTGCTTCTTGTTTTCTTCTGACACTTCAAACTTCTGTATGATGTCCAGACAATATTCTGGTGTCACATTATTCATCTGCACAAAAACAACAGTGGAGGTACACTCATTTTTAACATCACCAGCATGTGAAAATCTACTTAACTTAGAGGAGATAAACAGGAGTGAGAGGTAGCCATCAATTAAAACCTATGTCATTTTAGTCTCAAGATTAAAATTAGCTGTTTAGCAGCCTTAATAGTTGTACTGGCCAATACTGCTGAAATGAGAACTATGACATTATATTCTTTAATACAATCTTCTTAGACATGCAAAAAGATTTGGCAGGCTTGGATTTCATTTTCATGCGTTTTCCACTCCTATGATTTCATTACTTCCAAGGGAGTTCACTGTAACACACAGGCTAGGAGAGAAATAATTACATTCTGAAATGAAAAACAGCAGCTTTTCTGAAACAAATAGGAATTTTGTCAACAGCTTCAGCTAGGCCACAGCTGAGGTTCTAACTGATTTGTGGGGCAATTACAAGTATTCACTTATATTTCCTTCAGAGCTAAAGGAAAGGAGTAGCTCCTATTTCAACTTTCCTCACTGCCCTGAGTTGTAGAGAACCAAAGGGAGAATGAGGATGGGGTGGATTTCATTTCTCCCCTACCAACATCACAGGAAGACAACACTGGCTCTCAGGCCTCTGGCACCTTTCTTGTGCCATCGTCCAGTTCACTGTTTGTACTGTCCCAGCTAAGCCAACCATCCTGAGATGCTGTAGGAATTGCACAGGATAATAAAAAAGAACAATTCAGTAGGAAAAATAACTGATTATCCTTGCTCAGGTTGGTGTTTGATTGCAAACACTGCTCAGAGCAGGCCCTGTTCTGGTACAAGCTGGCTCAAATTCACTTTTCCATTATCCCCCATGGCTCCTTGCTGGCCCAGTGTGGGCTTCTCATGTGCTTGAGGAATGGCAATGTCTAATCTAGTCCAAAGCTGCATCTGCTGGGGAAAAGTCCACACATTTGTGCTTTTTAATTGTAGCTTGAGAGGTGATGACTTTGGCCATTCATTTTTTTGTTACACTTTATAGAGTACTCCACTAAAAATAATATGGGCTGCTCTCCTAAACAGGGAGCTCCCCTAAAAAAGAAGCCAGTTTAACAAGCTAACAAAAACCCCAAGCCGCTTTTGTTCTGTCCCCAGGCTGCAGAGTGTTTCATATCCTGCCAAATGAGTAGCAGATGGAGCAGAACAGACTGTCCACAGATTTGCAAGCATCCAGACAACAGCAAAACCAAGATGCTGTTTGGGTGCTGAGGGCACTGGGGAGCTGCCTCCTGCCTAGGAGCACGATCAGCTCTTGGGGCAATGCTGCCCTGTCCCAGGGGAGCAGGGAACACTGCTCTGGGGCATGGGAACATTCAGGAATCTCCTGACCTCCAGTGCTGGGCACTGGGAAGGGGCACAGGGCTGCAAGGTGCCTCCAACCGCCCGGCCAAGAGGAGCTGCTGCTTTCACTGTTTGTGGTTTGCTGCTGGAGCAGTGCCGAGCAGAGCAGCTCTGCCCACACAGGGCTCTCAGGAGGGCACACAGAGCACTGAGAGGGTGCAGAATGCCAGACCTGACAGTCAGCTCCAGCGTTCTGCAGCAGCAGCAGCTCCATGATGTCCCTGTGCACCCCAAAGGCAGCTCTGCCACGTGTTCCTCCTCCTGCTCCAGGTCCCTGAGCACCCTCTCACACCACCATCCTGGGCACTGCAAAAATCATCCAAAGCAGCTCAAACTCTTTCTATAAGCATTTCAAAAAACAACAAAACCTTCAGAACTCCCTTCTGTCACATCTGGGCTTTGCCCTCTGCCCCAAGTTAATATTTTCCATAAAATCCTTTCCCTACACTTGGATGTAAGTGCATGACCATAGAGATGGGTGCAGACACTGCCCTACCTTCTGTTCCACCCTCAGAAACTGGGCCAGCTCCTCAGCCGTGAGATGATCCTTCTTGTCACTGTAGCTTAGGAGCAGCAGGTACAGATCTCGACGCAAGGACATCATCTTGTAAAACACTGAGAATTCTTCAAAGTTCAGGGTTCCTTGGTTCTCATCTGTGTCTGCCTCCTAAGAGGCAATGGCACTCAGGTAAACATGCTCAGCATAGGAGAAATCAGGGAATAAAACAGAGCAGGACTTGTGTACACCAACAGGAATGTAGCAAATTCTGGTCTGCGAGACTGTTCAGACACAAATCCTAACAGGCTAAAATAACTGCAAAATTATATCATCATCTCTGGGGTTACTGGTGAAAACAGTTACTAAACTAAAGCCACAGATTCCCCATGAAACTCTAATTTCCTTCTTTAATTCCATATTTATTTCCCCCAGAAAGAGGCTCACCCTGGGCTTTATTCTGATCTCTTGCCCTCCTGTGTGCCCTGCAGTTATCCTGGATTAAAACTCAGCAAGAGGCATAACAATATCACCCAAGGCTTCCCCAACAACAGTCTGACGTCTTAAACCACTCAGGACAGTGTCAGAGTCTCCAATGCACATTATTTATGTGCAGCACTCTGCAGAGGGGACAGCTCTGCAGCAGCACTGAGACTCCCCACCAAAACACACACCCAGCATCTCCAGGCTGGATTTGCTGCTTCTCCTCAGAGGTAGGAGGAGAAGAAAACAGTACTTAGCACACACTAATACAAGCTTTTTTCCTGTGAACATCTGCCTAAGAGGATTGCTGTGGATTTTCAAAACAAAGAATATATTCTGGAGAACGGCTGGCGGGCACTGTGTGGGTCCCCATGCAGAGAGGGGCTGCAAACTCCTATCACAGCAAGTCAGCTGAGAGGAAAGGAATTCTCAGCTAAATGGTGTTGAATGGGGTTTTAAATCATTTTAGATCTATTACATGCCTTAGATTACATTTACAATCTGTAGGAACGAGTACAACCCAAACTAATCTCTGCAACACCACCCCACCAGTTTCCAGGTCTTTGGGAGTAACTCCAGACTCCAAAGATGTATCTCTAGTAGGGAATTTATGAAGAATAGAAGATTCTTCAACTTTCCCATGTTTTACAGCAAACCAGCTTTGAGCTGGTACTGGTTTAGAAAAGTGAAGAGGACATATTTTGCTCTCCCTTATGTCCTTGGTTTATCTTTCCTTTCCTGCAGTAAACACAAGGACTGATGGAAAATGGGAGCCGTTTTCAGACAACAGAAGTAAAAAATTGATTCTAAATCCATCAAATCTGAATGGCTATATATGAGGAAGTTGTTAAAGAAAACCTAATTTCTTGCATAAAGCCAGTTTCTACTAAATAATTTTCCATAAAGGACATAAAAATATTTTAGTAGCAACAGAGTGACTTCATTGTCCATCAGTGCCAGCATTGAACAGTTCAGTTCACAGAGCTGAAACCAACAATGCAGCAGAAAGAGTAACACTGGTAACTTTTCTGTGTGCTTCCTGTCATTGAAACAACATTCTGATGCCTACAGAAAGGAAGGACTTTGAAAAGCCTGCGAGTGCTGTGTTTGTGGTCCCAGGCTGCAGAGCCTGCCCTGGCTGTGCCCACAAATGGGTGTTACCTGTCCCCCAGCACACACCTGGAACATCTGGCGCACCTTCCTGCGGGGCAGGCCGACGTTCAGCTTGTGCATCAGCTGGTGGATCTCCTCGATGTTCAGCAGCCCGTCCCCGTTCTTGTCAGCCTCCTCGAAGGTCTGCTTCACCCAGCTGCCAGCGTGTCAAGGACAGGCACACAGGGCTCTCCCCGGGCACAGGAGGCAGGGCAGCTCAGGAAAGAACCTTTTGCCCCTGCCCTTACTACAGCTCAGCCAAAGGCTTAAACCACCACTGGGTTATGGCAATTATTCACAGCTCAGCCCCTCTGCACTCCCATTTCTGGTGCTGGTTCCTCCTCTGAGAACGTGCTCCAAAGGTTTCAAATATTGCCGGGCTTACTCTGGGATCTTCTTCCACCTGTCCCTTCATTCTACCTGAGCTTCACCTCCCAACAGCACCTTTCACCCCCTCCTTGCACAAATATCCCTCAGCACCTCCTGCTAAGCTCTTGCAGCAGCTGGGAGTGGGACAGGGCCATTCTGGGTGCAGGCTCCCAGCTGCCACACTGGATAGAACGAACAGGACTTGCAGTGATGTTTCACCAGGAGAGAAGATACAGCAGACAGGAGCAGCTCAGAAAAGCCATGGTTAAATACAGCAAGCTGAGGACAGGTGCAACAGAGCATGCAATACAACCCCAATGGACCTGTGCCTGCTGTGGATCAGAGGCAATCAGGCAGATATAAATTAAAAATACCTGAAATATGTATATTCTCCAGGAGTTCCACTGGAGAGTTCCATGAGGCAGAAGAACAGACAGGTTACAATTTTAATTAAGATGGCCTTGGGGTTTGGTATTTGGGGGAAGAGTGTTCTTTGTGTATAACATTTTAGTCATCAGTGTTGTGAAAAAAAAACTATTGGGAAAAAAAAGGCACATGAAGAAAATATTCAGAGAACATGAGGTTCACTTTGGCTACTGAGCTACAACAAACATTTAAGGAGCTTTAAGGATTTGTGCTCCTGACCAACAATGGAGGCTGGGAAGGACACAGGCATCTGACTTACACAAGAGCAACAGAGATGGCCAGGAGTTATTGAGGTACTGAGATAACTAGAAATAACTGGTTCTCCCCTTCAAAAGGGAATTCATTACCAAATGCAAGCCTATCCCCTGACTGCCATGCAGTTTGATCCAGCCCCCAAGCACAGCCCATGGTTTATCGCACACAGAAGCGTCCGTGTCAAACCCACTGCTCAGGTTTCCATCGCAGTCAGTGGAAGGGCTTTGGTCACTCGACAGGAGGAGAAGGGACGGGCTGTGCTGAGGTGCCTGGAAACCAAGGCAGGAGCGTGGCCCAGGAGGAGGCTGCCCCCAAAGGATACTGGTCGTGCGTCCTCTGGCGCTTGGCCAGCGAGTCCTCGTCGCTGATCCCGGCCAGGAGGTACTTGAGCCCCGTGACCCAGGTGCGAGCCTCCTCGGGGTTGGACGTGATCAGGTCCAGGCTCTCCAGGTGGCTGCCGTGGTAAATGGTGAAGCAGCAGCTGGGCTCGAAGCTGCCCTCGGCGTGGCGGTGGAAGATCTCCGACTGCCGGCCCTCGCTGACTTTGTAAATGGAGTCGATGACAACTGGGGGGAAAGGGAACCAAAGGCCACGCTGGGACACCAGCCAGCCTCCTCCTGCTTCTCCCAGTCTGAGTTATTCAGGCTCAGAGGCACTAAACTTTACTAATGCTACATCTTCACATCCCAAAGCCCTCGCTGGGACAGCCAGCCTCCTCCTGCCTCTCCCAGTCTGAGTTATTCAGGCTCAGAGGCATTAAACTTTATTAATGCTACATCTTCACATCCCAAAGCCCTCGCTGGGACAGCCAGCCTTCTCCTGCCTCTCCCAATCTGAGTTATTCAGGCTCAGAGGCACTAAACTTTACTAATGTTACATCTCCACATCCCAAAGCCCTGTTGGACTGAAGGTTTCCCTGCCACGGCTGTGCCATGTGCCGGCTGCCCTGGAGGCTCTGAGCACTGCCCAGAACATCACAGGGCTGGGGCTACAGAAAGGGAGCACAGGACACAGACACCAAGTATCTCCCATCAGCCCACGAGCCTCTGTGTGGCTCTGTAAGTCACACTCCAATACTGAACTGCCCCAGAAATTAGAAGGAGGAGGTTACTTTACTTTTTGCCTTTTCGCTCTTGCGGGAGGGCCTCCATCGGATGCAGGTCCTGTGCTCGTCCAGGTAGAAGAGACGGACCAGCCCCTTGGTTCCACTCTTCAGCTTCACCATCTGCGTCCCAGACTGCATCACACTCATGCATCTTTCAACTGTGGGGCAGAGCAGAACAAACTCAGCTGAACGGCCACCTCACCCACTAATGCCATGGCTCACGGGCTGCCCAGCATGTGCCAGGCACACCCAGCTCTGGCCTGAACCTGCAGTGACACAAAGTGGGCAGCGCTGGGAGACTGTTCCTCCTTCACTGCCCCCTTCTGCACACAGGAAAATGGAACAGCTCATCTGTCTGAACACCCTCTCAACAAAGGAGACAAAGAAAACTTTCATCTGTGTTGAAGGAAAACATTTTATAGTTGTTTCATGCTCATCTTATTTACATTTTTTCGATTACTGCACACAGTGCTGTAATTTAAACCCCAGCACTCCATGCACTTGGACTGGTGAGATGCTCATTCAAGCCCTGCAGTCCTTTGGGCTCAGTAGCCCTGGAGTTTGTCCCTGTGCTGTGCCACTGGCAGAGCTGGTCACAGAATGACACAGACACATTCACACCCTCTCCATGCTGCCACCGACCTTCCAACTCACACTGGGATGATTTCCTTTTATCCACTCGTCCCATCCGAATGATAAGGCTTTTTTCCTCCTCTGTGTTTTGACTAAAATAAACCCATCTCTTCCATTTCATCTCCCATCCGCCCTCCTGCAGCCTTCCAAACACAAGGATCAAGATAAGATTTCCTCTTGATCTCAGTACATATCCATGCTCTTAAATTACCTTCTGGTTTTATCCATTCACAGCCTCTCCTCGCTTGGTATCACTCCAAATTCATCTCCCTGGGTGATTTGTTTACACTCTGGCTGGCTCCCAAATAAACTCTCTGGGTCTGTCTCTATTTCTTATCACCCTTCCTCTCTGCAGCACTTCTCTCCCCAGTGCTCCTCAGAGTCACAGCAAAGGCCAACCCACACTCCCACTGCTCTGCCAGAGCTGGGATTTATTTATTTATTCTCCCAACAGCTCTGACACGCTCACAGGCAGGCAGAGCAGCATCTAAACATTGAGCAAAGCAGGGCTGAGCAGCCCTTGGCACTGGAATGACCTGCCCTGGCTCCCTCACTCACCCGGAGCTGGCAAGGCAAACCCCACATGGAATCAACCCATCAGGAGGAGTCTTTTTCCTCAGTTCTCTTTTTGGGGAAAGGAGGGGACTGAGGCTGAGCTGAACAGAACCAAATTCTTCTGGAAGCCTCATGTGAGTGCAATAAATGTGTCCTTCATTATGTCCATAAATAATGGCACCCCCTGGATGAGCACACGCTGAATGAAGGTGAGTTTGGAAGGGCTTTAAGATAAACCACAAATGTGACATAAACCAAGCCAGAAGGTGATGTTAGACTATATCCACATGTTGGCTGGGGCAGCATTAACTTGGATATATCTAATACACACAAAGTACCAGGAAGACAAACATTTACACCACGAGGGACGGAAAACTCTGAACCTGAGAGAAGAAAGATGAACTGAAGCAAAAGGAGTCTCTAAAAGTCCCAATGTACACCCGCACAGGAATGCCTTTTCGTGGCAGAGCCAGCCCTTCCCCGTGGAACTGAGCTTAGATCAGGCTTGCCTTGGGTTCCTACCAAACAAACAGGACCTGTCCCAGCACAGCAGTGAGGGTGCTCACCCTGAGAGCTGGGTACCCTAACGTGCCCTGCCCCACCAGCCTGGCACACACACCTCCAGCACCTCTGCTTTCACTAACACAGACATCACTCCAGCAGCGCTTCAGCTCGCTAAGAGGTTTAGCCACAAGCCACTCAACACAGAAAATCTGCTTCTTTGCACCTAAGGCTAGCAGTGACTGGTGAAAGTCTTACAAAAATATCTAATTCTCACATAAGTCTCTCTATTAACACCAGCTCGGTTGTCAGAGAAGAAATCCCAGCCCGGTTTCACTGAGATGCCATTGAGGACAGCCAGCAAAAGGCAGAAGGGAGATCACATCTGTTCCATACAAGAAAAGCAGAGAATGGGCCACGCTCAGGTAACTGCAGCCAACAAAACTGTGGGGGAAAACAAAAACCATAAAAGGCAATCTAGTTCCTTCTTCACCATTTCAATTGCTTCAACATTTCTACACCACATTTGGAATTGTTATGGGTGCAGTCACATTCATGCTTCAGGCACACTTCAGTCACAGGGAATAGATTTTAAATCACTTTCCTTTACAAAGTGGAAGAATCCCAGTTCCTGCCCAGTATCTCAACAGCCTCCATTCCCAAACCCCACCTGCAGTGGGTCCAGTGCCCCAGGGAGCACCACCTTTGCTGCCTGCACTTTCCCAATTCCAAGGAAGTACCACGAGAATTCAAACATTTAAAGAATAGTAAACACGCAAGAGAGTTCATGGCATCATTGCTGCTGTGTAGGTGTTAATGACAAAGGCTCCACGTTCAAGAAGGGACTGGGGTAATGGAAATGCCACAGCAATCACGAGCCCACTGGATCTCAGCTCTGCAAACCATTTACAAAACACCCCATCCTCCCCTTCAGGCTATTTATAAAATATAAGCACGCAAATAAAAAAGGTCTTTTTCAAATCTATTCTCAGTATGCTAATGCCGGTCCCTTGCCAGACACCACACATTAGCATCTGAATCAGGGAAGGTATTGAGCAGTGCAGGGCAGAATAAAGCTCCAGAAGAGCAGTTCAGGAAGGATTGCACCAAGGAATAGGGAAGCTGGTTCCAGAAAAACATCTAATCCTGTAGATAAACCAGGAATACAGAGTAAATGAAGCAGCTCCTCAATGCAGACACAGATTAAAATTTGGGGAAGCGAGACATGATTCCCATTAAAAGCTATTCTTCTAACACAAGGACTAGCTGGGCATTTTTTGCTCAAAGTCTGAAAATGAATTAAACTAGGACACAATGGAGTTTATGTTACAAGATCAAAGAAAATTAATCTGGAAGTTTAAATAAAAAATGATGCTTATGCAATGTATAAGGAAGGGCTGGAACTGGGTGAACCATTCCATGATTCTATGATAGTTGAAGCTTTAATTTAAAATTAAAAACCCCTGAAAACTACATTCACTTCTGTTTGCAGAGTTATGCAAACTTGACAGTCTAAAATCATCCCAACAGACATCCTGGAGTTTAACGGGATTTAATAATGAAAGACCAGTCTCCTTTTCTTGCTCCCAAAATAACCCTTTAAAGCAACACAGACCTGAATTCAAATAGCCCTTTTTAATTTAGTTTAGGCAGCTCTGTGGGTGCCCCTGCCCACGCTGCTCTCATTGCCCACTGAGCTGGCACTGCTGGGCAGCTGTGGCCACTCCATGGCGCTAATCCCCAAACCAGGCTGTGCCACCCTCTGTCCCTGTGCCACCCTCTGTTCTCATGCCACCCTAAATCCCCGTGCCACTCTCCATCCCTGTACCACCCTCTCTCCCCATGCCACCCTCTGTCCCTTCGTGCCACCCTGCATCCCCTTGCGCCACCCTCCATTCCCTCATGCCACCCTCTGTCCCTGTGCCACCCTCTGTCCCCTCATGTCACCCTCCATTCCCTCATGCCACCCTCTGTCCCCATGCCACCCTCCATCCCCTCATGCCACCCTCTGTCCCCATGCCACCCTCCATCCCCTCATGCCACCCTCTGTCCCCATGCCACCCTCCATCCCCCCGTCTCTCATCGCTCCCCGTGCCCTCGGGTTACCCTCTGACGCCCAGGGATGGCTCAGCACCAGCCCCCCAGGATCCCCACACACCCCCATGGCTCGGGGGCCGTTCCTGCATCCCGGGAGCTGGGAATTCCTCTGTTTAAAGTTCATTTAATCCCAGCAGTCACACTTCTGCCTGCCCTTGTGCTCACCACAGGGACTTCAGGGTGTGCAGGACCCTGCAGTCAATGCCGGAGAAAATGATTATTATTTAGGGAAGTAAGACATTACACTGAGCAGCAAACACAAGAGCATTTTGCTATACAGGCCACATCCCTGCAGCGAAACAAACACCCCCTCCCATAAAACATGTTCTCTGAGATTAACTAAACATCCTGGCTATTTCTTGCTACTATACTTTGGTGTTTAGTTATTCAAAAAAACACTATTACCTTTGCATTAGCAGCACAACTCTACTGCCAAGAGTATACAGCAAAAGGAATTATCTGTCTCACCCCTGTTGTGAGGCAGAGAATTTTACTTAAAGTCAAAGATCAAAACAAATTTCTTATTGCTGTCCACAAATGTTCTTTTATTTTCCTGTATGTTAAGAAATTAATATTTCAAAGTGCAACCAAATGACAAAAGGTCTGGTCTCATCTTGCTTTTATGGACTTACTGCTACATGCATCTGACAAAACAAAAAGATTAAATAAGGTATAAAGAGCATTACCAAACACTGAGAAGTATAATTATGAAAGAGGATATAAACTGGGTATCTAAATGACAGGCATCAACTGCATTAAGCCAACATTAGGCTTGAAGAGATAAAAGGTACCCATGAAAGGCAGGGGTTACTTTTCTAAGTGCAGCAGCAGCTCTTCTGCCCTGCACTCAGTATTTGGGGTTTCTGGGTGTTCTGTGATGCTGATTGTTGGGGTTACACAACAGCCCGAGGGCCCGGGGGCACAGGGGGCAGGTGCAGGTCTGGGGCGCTCCCCAGCAGGACTGGCCTTTGGTTCAAACAGCCACAGCTCATATTTTATGCCAGTGTAATTTGCCTCGCAGCAGCTCTTGCAGCCTCACGGAATTTCACATTAAGCTTCTTACAGTGGGTTTAATGGTAATCTCTGGGAGTCCGTGCACATGAGATGGACAATCAATCTCTCACGCTTCTGCACTTCCCAAGAAACCCTCGAGGGAGCCACACAGCACCAGCAGAGCCACCAGAGGCTGGAAAGGGCACGGGCAATTCATCTCAGCCCTGGAGAGGCAGAGCATCAACACCAGAAACCAAACACAAGTTGAGACCACTCAAACAACTGAATGGCGTCTAATCAAAGGAAATCACGAACTCTGGGAAGCAGCTCGTGCTTGTAAAGTCACTAAATAATATGCAAACAATAAAGGGGTGAAGCT